GCCCTCCGCTCCGCCTCTAGGGCCATCCGCACCGACTCCAGGGCGGCCCGCTCCCACTCAAGGGCCGCCAAGGCCTCCTGAAGCACCACCTCGGTGCTCGCCAGGGATGCCCGCAACCCCGCCTCAGTCTTCGCCTGGTGGGCTTTCATCGCCTCGAGCCCTTGCTCGGCGGTAGTCACCCGCTCCGCTGCACGCTGCCCCTCTACCCGCGCCGCGGCAAGCTCGGCCGCCCGGTCCTGGGACTCGCGGCAAGTGGACCCTACCCGACGCTCGAGCTCAGCCATCCGGGGGTGTTCCGTCCGGAGGAAGTAAGACTTGCGGGACGACATCTTCCTCAGATTCTACGAAAACAAGCATGCTAAAGACAACCGATGAAAGATTCAAAGGGCAAGGATAAGTACCAGAAACTCACCTCCGCGGTGAGCTGCAGGTCGACCTCAACCAACTGCTGAGCAAACTGGGTCAGCTTATGGGCATTTTCGAGCTTCGTGGCCACCTTGGTGAGTTCGGACACCGCAGCATGCCCTTGTCACCCAAAAATGTCCTAGAGCTGACGCTCCCAGGAATCCCGAAGGACAAACCGCGCCTTCGATGGGTCCTCAGGGCAGGGCCACTCTAGGTCACCCTCCGGCAAACTGCCAGAGGGCCCAGCCTCCAACTGGACCACCACCAGCTCTCGCGGCGGCCCCACCACGATATCCGCCTCATCGTCAGACGGGATCTCCACCACCTCATTCGCATGGGACGCCACCGGGCGTCCCAACTCCGGCCCGGTTGCACTTCCCTCCGGCGCCTTCTCCTCCGACGGCAAGGACAAGCCGTGCGTCCCTCCACCCGGTGAGATAGGGAGCTCGTCCTCCCTCATCTCTTCCACCGCGACCAGCGGAGGAGGGGCCGCAAGAGTTACCTCCGATGCAACCCCCGCCATCGGCACCAGGATCGCCGCCAACACTGATGCCGCCGCTGCCGCCTTATCAGCAGCCGCCCTGGGGGGCACCACCCCCGGGAGGGAAGGCTTTGCCGCCGCCACCCTGCTGCCCCCTTCGCTCACTGCAACACGCTGCAGGGTGGGCCTCCAAGTCTCCTGCATGGGGGTTGGGCGATGCTCAACCCCGGCATCCCCCGGCCGCTGACGGAAATTATAGGTGAGTCACACTCCAAAAAGACTCGACCAGGAAAGGATCGAAGGGCAACAAAGGGAAACATATTGGGAGGTGAGCGGCACGACTCTAAAGGCAGGCTCCGACGACAACGGACCTACGGGATGAGGACCGCTCCCAGGCTGCGACCCACGCCCCTCACTCCAGATGGGGGCGGAGTCGTCCCGCCCGGCTCCTGCCTGGCCTGCGGGTCACTACGACCTCTGGCTTGGGACTCCCCGATCAGAGCAGCGGGCGGAGCGTCCTCCAACTGCAAGTCGCGTGTTGTCCGGGCGCCAGTCTGCCCTCAGACCGACTGGACTGCTCGACCGCACCCACGGTAGGCAGGGCCTCCTTCAGCTGTGAGTCAGCCGTTGGCACCAGTCCCGTCACCGCACGAGCACCAGTCCGCTCCTCGGGCCGCTCGGCTTGCTCAGCCGCATCCACCACAGGCGACGACGGGATCGGCGACACCACCGAGGGCGTGCGGTGACCGCATCCGCTTCGCCGCCCGTCCACCAACGGCGTCCGCTCTCGCCGCATGCTTCCTCGATGCAGGAACCTCAGCACGCCGCGCGGCCTCTTGCTCCTCACCGGCGGACGTCGCCGTAGGGTCGCGACGCTCCGCCGAGGTCACAACGACCTCCTGACTCCCCTCCTCGTCGGAGAAGACCATGTCGTCCAAATCTGTAGGATCATCCGACGCGAGTTCTGACTCGACGTCGCTCCTACGTTCCTCGGCTCTCACACGCCGGGTGACCTCCCGCTCCTTCTCCTCCTTTCGCCGAACCTCCCTGGTTCTCTTCTTCCGGGCATCTGTCGTCTCCTTCTGGGCGGCCTACCGGGCCCTGCCCTCCGATCCCTTAGGAAGGTGAGGCCGGGACTTGTACCTTTCAAGCCCCTACGGAACGGATGGCCCAGGATCAAGAAACAAGAAAAGCAGAGGAAGAAACACGAACAAAATAAGGGATTATACCAGTTTGTACACGACCGAGGCATTGAACGGTATGGGTTTCCCCACAACCATAACTCATTGCATATACATTTAGATTCTAGTGAGTGCTAACACCCTTGAAAATGTTTGTGAAAATATGCTAACACACGTGCACAAGGTGATACACTTGGTGGTTAGCAAATTTGATCAAGGGTGGTGAAGTTAGAGTTGAGGTGGCACTGTTCTTCACTGACGGACGCTGGTCATGTAGTGACCGGACTCAGCATTGGGTGCATCCGGTCATTAGGGCTTTGAGGCGCGTTGTCAGTCTTCGACCGGACGCAGGCGAGGGCAAGCGACCGGACTGGAATGGTGGTGAGTCCGGTCGTGCTGACATAACGCGTGGAGAAGGCCAGAGAGGATCGAACTTGAAGTTGCGTCCGGTCGCCTGTGAACGGACGCATCCGATCGCGGATTTTCCTCTCTGGATGCTTATTGGAGTCGATCGGACTCCGCGGGCACGCGCGTTAGGTCTCGCGGAGGCACGTCAGGTCTTGGCGTGCAGGCAGCGCGGGCGCGCGGGAGCGGACGCTCGTGTGCTGCGTCCGGTCGCTAATTGAGTGTGGCATGGGCACAGTCGACCGTTGAGATCGGGTGGCGCAGGTCTGAAGGCAGGGCCACGTGGTGCTCATCGGGCGACCGGACGCTGGAGGCGTGCATCCGGTCACTCTTGACCGGCGTGTCCGGTCGGCCGGCAGCGAGGTCTCTATGGTGAGCCCAGCGGCTCTATTTCATGGGGGCTCCTATTTAAGCCATATGGCTGGCTCTAGCTCTCAGTCTTGGCCATTTTTATGGACATAGCAACCTAGTGAGCTAAGTCAAAGTCCTTCCACTAATCTCCATCAGTGATTCATCATCTTTGTGAGATTGGGAGTAAATCTAAGTGCATTGCTTGCGTGATTGCATCTAGAGGTACTTGGTGATTGTGTTTCGCTGCGGATTTTGCTTGTTTCTCTTGGTGGTTGCCGCTACCTAGATGGCTTGATGCGGCGAGGATCGTCGAGCGGAGGGTGGTGATTGTCTCCGACTCCAATCATAGTGATTGTGAGGGGTTCTTGACCTTTCCCCGGCGGAGAGCCAAAAGGTACTCTAGTGGATTGCTCATGGCTTGTGGATCCTCATCTTGTGTTGGTTGTGCGGCACCCGATTGTGGGTTAGGCGTGTGATGCCTATTAGCGCGTAAGTCTCCAAGTGAGTGAATCGCCACAACGGAGAATAGCTTTCCAGCAAGCAAGTGAACCTCGGTGAAAAATCATTGTGTCATCTTGTTCCGAGGATTTTATTGGTATTCATTGTGATTGATTGATCATCGCTTGCAACGTCGGTATATCTTCACTATCTCACCCTTGTACTTACATTTCTAGTGTAGCTAAGCTCTTTAGTGTAATTAGTTTTGAGAGCTAGCTTGTGTCGTGTCTAGTGGTTAGTGAGGCTCTTTAGCTAGTATTTGAGAGCTCACTAACTTAGTTGTAGTGACATAGCCTCTTGTGTGTGAAATGGAGATCATAGTAACTAGAATTGTGGATATGAGGCTTGTATTTTTAGTAGGCTAGCGCAACACTTGCTTCGCCGTTTAATTGACTAACCACTTAGTTTAAGTGTTGTTGTAGATTTTTTAATAGGCTATTCATCCTCCCTCTAGCCATTAGGACCTTTTATCTCTTCCTGGCTTCGCGACTGCTCTATTCCTAGACTTGGCTATGGTCCCTTTAATAGTCTCTCCTCCACATCAACATCCAGCAAGCGTGACACAGAAGGTGACAATTGATGACCTATTCACTACTCTAAAAGTAGTGACAATCAAGGACTTGTGACATGTCATCGACCGGACATAGTTTTTGGCTCACTAGGAATCTGACCATGCCAATACAGGAGCATGCACATCACAAACTGGGGTGCAAATTTGGCAACGTGGTGTTACCGTGACAGTTCAGCGACGGAACTCACATGGAGATGGCCTTCTTTGTGCACTGTTGTCTTCTTATCTCTTGTTTTTTCTGATGATGCGGAGCCACTGCTAGAGACTATGGACGCGTGACCTAGGGAGGATGGGTGACTTTGGTCTCGAGTTGGCGGCAGGTAGGATTTATCATGGTTTAGGAGATGTCTCTATCTATGGCATGCAGTCTTCTGTAGGTTGGCTTGGCAGCTTTTGTGGCCTCTGGCCCATGGCTTCCTTGTTTGAGGTTGAGGTCTTGTGCTTCTTCTTTATTATCAATAGAAAAACATGCCATTGAAGAGGGTTTGAGTATTATACGTTGAGAAAACAGAGCAGAAAAGCTAATGATAATAGTGGAAAGGTCTAGCAAAAGACAAAAGGAAAAAACGAAGAAAATCTATCACTTAAGAAGATATAAATCTTACATACAAAAATTCAACGTGTAGGGATAATAATCAAATGTTTTCCCAAGCACAATTTCGGTTTTGTTTTTCAGGAATCACAACCACAGAGTTTGGACCGAGGTAAAGAAACAACGTGAAGGGTGAAGGAAAACAGTAGCCTTCGGTTCCTGCGTTTTCTACACTGCACCAATTCAAGATTCGGTGCTCATTGTTTGAGGTGGAGTCCAGTTTTTTTTTTTCAGGCACCACTCGCACACTGCGGAAGGTCGAGACAGGCAGCCGACCAACCGTGCGGTTCATCCCAGTAAGGCTCCGTTCGGTTAGGCCGTTCCCAGCTGCTCCTCTCCTCGTCAAGAATGGTTCCGGCGCAGTAGAAGAAACGGCAGGCCAGAAATTGAGGAATTGTGGTAATGGTAACCGAACGAGGCCTAAAGACGCAGGCTGATAATCCGTTTCGCCTGGGCTAAACGTTTGGTCAATTGGGAGGCCTTGATTTATTGCCCGCCTCCCGACTGCCCAAAACGATGCCTCCGCCTTCCCGCTTGCTGGCCCTCCTCCGCGCCGCCGCCGCCGACCCGCCGCCGTTCCGCGTCCTTCTGAAGCTCCACGCGCACCTCCTCGTCTCCGGCGTCCTCTCCTCCCACTCCACCTCTCCCTTCAGCGACCGCCTCGTCGCCGCCTTTGCCCTCTCCGACCCCGCCTCCCCGCGCCCGCTTCTCCACGCGCTTGCCATTCTCGCTTCCCTCCCGTCCCCGCCGGACTCTGCATCCCCCTACAATGCCGCCTTCCGCGCGCTCTCCCTCTGCCCGCATCCGCACCTCGTGGACCGCCACTGCCTCCCGCTCTACCGCGCCCTCCTCCGCTCCGGTTCCGCGCGCCCCGATCACCTCACCTTCCCATTCCTGCTCAAGGCCTGCGCGTGCCTGCAGTACAGGTCGTACGGTGCCGCGGTTCTTGGACATGTGCAGAAACTGGGGTTCAGCGCTGACGTCTTCGTGGTGAACGCCGCGTTGCATTTCTGGTCTGTTTGTGGGTCCATGGTTTTTGCCCGCAGGTTGTTCGATGAAAGTCCCGCCAGGGACGTGGTCTCCTGGAACACACTGATTGGTGGGTACGTGAGGAGTGGCCTCCCGCGGGAGGCGCTAGAGTTGTTTTGGAGGTTGGCGGAAGATGACAAGGCAGTGAGGCCTGACGAGGTCACGATGATCGGGGCAGTGTCGGGATGTGCACAGATGGGGGATTTGGAGCTCGGGAAGAGGCTGCATGAGTTTGTGGACAGTAAAGGGGTGAGGTGCACGGTGAGGCTGATGAATGCGGTGATGGATATGTATGTCAAGTGTGGCAGTTTAGAGCTAGCAAAGTCGGTGTTTGAAAGGATCAACAACAGAACTGTTGTTTCCTGGACAACCATGATCGTGGGGCATGCGAGGCTGGGGTTGATGGAGGATGCACGGATGCTGTTCGATGAGATGCCTGAAAGGGATGTATTCCCATGGAATGCTCTGATGGCTGGTTATGTTCAGAATAAGCAGGGCAAGGAGGCTATCGCGCTGTTTCATGAGATGCAGGAATCAAAGGTGGATCCTAATGAGATCACCATGGTTAATCTCCTATCTGCTTGCTCGCAGCTTGGAGCATTAGAAATGGGGATGTGGGTCCACCATTACATTGACAGACATCAGCTTTATCTTAGTGTTGCACTTGGCACATCTCTAGTTGACATGTACGCAAAGTGTGGCAACATCAAGAAGGCGATCTGTGTTTTCAAAGAAATCCCAGATAAAAATGCACTCACATGGACAGCAATGATATGTGGTCTTGCAAATCATGGACATGCTGATGAGGCCATAGAATACTTTCAGAGAATGATAGATCTTGGATTGCAGCCAGATGAGATAACATTTATAGGGGTTCTGTCAGCTTGTTGCCATGCTGGTTTGGTTAAAGAAGGTCGTCAATTTTTCTCCCTAATGCATGAGAAATACCACCTTGAGAGGAAAATGAAACATTATTCATGTATGATAGACTTGCTAGGCAGAGCAGGACATTTAGATGAAGCAGAACAGCTTGTAAACACCATGCCTATGAATCCTGATGCAGTAATTTGGGGTGCTCTTTTCTTTGCTTGTAGGATGCATGGTAATATCACTCTTGGTGAGAAGGCAGCAATGAAATTGGTAGAACTTGACCCAAGTGATAGTGGAATCTACGTGTTATTGGCTAACATGTATGCAGAGGCAAATATGAGGAAGAAGGCTGACAAAGTGAGGGTTATGATGAGGCACTTGGGAGTGGAGAAGGTTCCTGGATGTAGTTGCATTGAGCTGAACGGTGTGGTTCATGAATTTATCGTGAAAGATAAGTCCCATTTGGACACTAATGCAATTTATGACTGCTTACATGGGATTACATTACAAATGAAGCATACTGCAAACCTGATTGACATTTCAGAAACTGGCATCATGTCACATCTTTAGTCCAGAAACTACATCTAGTTCTAAAAAATGGTGTTTTCAGTTGTATCACATAATCACATGGTGAATGTGTCAGCTGCCAGGCAATAAGCCTCTCACTGCCATCAATCATGTGATGAAGTTCCTATCAGTGACGCTGAAGGGAATACCAGAAATTAGGAGGTAATATTTTAATTTACAAATAATCTTTTCAGTTGTAAAAATCCTTGAGTAACTCTGTAAGCTTATCAGGGATTACGGGGCATCTTATCTCAATCCCATTCATTATTATCTTTGCAGAACAGTGATAACAGAGACTAACAACTATTATGTCCTTTTCATAAGGTCTTGAACTCTGTAAGCCTGCCTGAAAATTTTCTTGTGCTTATGGTGAGACCTGCTAATTTGCATATTTTAGGTATTAGATGTTGATTCATGAGACACCACATATTATTGAAAGTGGCAATTTTCATTTGCTAGTTAAAAGATCAGATGCTATACACATTATTCATAAATTGAACATTTTCAAATGATACTTTATGGAATTTTGTTTTCTGATAACAATGCATGATCCTTTGTGTCTTGCAGATTGAGGATGTTAGGATGTAATTTCCACACTTGGAGGGACAGCCTGTAGTCCCAAAAGCAGTCTCACTAGCGTTTGCTGCCTGCTGGTAACATGGTAAGTATCGTACCTTAGTACTCCTTCCATTTCAAGTTATAGTTCTACTTAGCTTTGCCTTAAGTTAAACTTCTCTAACTTTGGCCAAGTTTATAGAAAAACGAGATTTTAGTTAAGCCATGGTTTTTGAGGCATCGCCTAGGCGTTGTGGCGTACCCTAGGCGCCACAAGACGTCGCAAGGTTTTAATTACGCCATACGCCTAGGCATCCAGGCATACCCCCAGCGCCACATGGCCCACATGACACCACAACGCCTCAAAAACCATGAGTTAAACTAATTTGATATTGTAGTTGTAGATGTTGATGCATTTTTGTATAAACTTGGTCAGTATGTATATGCATATATGGTATATGCAATGAAATGGCAAGATTGCTCTGAAAATTTCTTGCAAGTATGTATATGCATATATGATATACGCAAGTGTTGAGTTCACTTTAGCGCAACATGTAAGAGTTCACCTGTGAAATTTCTTGTGTTATATGACCGATTGGTAGTTCTATTCTTATCCTTAAATCCCATATTATTGTCATCCCAGGTCAATTTTATATTTGTCTTAGCTGGAAGCTTGTTTCAAATGATTCTCAAAAATGGAAACAATTGATAGTTTAGGTGTTTGATGTGCATCCATTTCATTCCTTGTAAGGGCATCTCCAATAGTACCCAAAAAATAATCCTAAAAGTTTGGTTTTGCAACCTTTCCAATAAATATTGGAAAGGGAAAAAAGCCCATCACCAACAGTTTTCAATAAGTTGCTCCTAAAAAGAAAAGTATGCCCACTTGAATTTTTTTTTATCATCGCTTGTGCCACACCAACGCCGCCACCATTGCCACCAGCAGCTGTCCTACAGCTGGCCATCCCCGGCACCTAACTCACACCCAGAACCTCAAAAATGGAATCTCCATTGTCTGCTCTACCTCCCACTATTCTCAGATTTGAAAATAGTCATCGAAGATCCAATTCCGATAAACCTGCCAGACGGTGGCGGCTGTTGCCCGCATGCATGGCTCTATTTAGTATTCTCAGATCTGAAAATAGTGGCTGGAGGTTTAATTCCGCCAAACCTCCAGGCAGCGGCGGTCAGGCGACAGAGTGTCGAAAAAATGGGTGCCCTAGGAGTCCACGTATCTTTGTGCATGGATGCCTCTGTTTTTCCAATCACCGTAGATTGGGAGTTGTTGAAGGAAGTTTTTTTTGCATCTTGGCAAAAAATCAAGATTAGGAGTTGCTCTACTAAGTAAAGAACTTCAGTACATCACAACGGGAAGTGTTGAGTTTTGTAATTTTATTTCTTAAGTACATGATGAAATAGACCCCATATAGTGGAACTTTCAAAAGCTACTAATCAAACAATTTGCAAGAAGCAAGAGTAACTTATGGCATATTGCAATTTATTTTGTGAAGATAAATTAGCTGTTGGCAAAAGGATTCATCCTAAGCATAGCAGTGCGTGGATAACTGATGGTCAATATTTGATCATTAAAAAGGAAATAAAAAAAAGAAGGAAAAGGGGTGACACGACACATGAAGTATATTTGAAAAATAGTCTCTTATTATGAACTTCTTGGCATTGTCAGAACATTATTTTTCCAAGGACATGTGAAAAGCTATCTTCTAACTCCAACCTAAACTTCATCTATGACAATTGCAATAGAAAAGGACTGGTGGGATAGGATTTGGATTAGATTGACATTGCCCCATCATATTATGTTAGCAAGGAACAAGCACAGAATAATGATGGAATTGGGTGACACAAACATAGCATCTACTCCTTTTCTATCATAAAAATAGTCTCATTTCCATATTATGACATTGTCCCATTTATATGTATGTTAAATACAGAACAAGCACAGAATAATGATGGAAATGGTGTCATGTTTTCTACCTTAGCATCTACTCCTTTTCTATCATATGTTTTCAGTTTTCACCACTTCCATTTTCCATATTACACTAAACTGCCTTTCCTCATTTACATGTACAAGAAATAGTAAATAGATACAGAACAAGCAAGCTTATCATTGATTCAATTGGAGAGTGTCAAGTTGCCAAAATATAGCATCACAGGTATTGTTCACCTAAATGGTCATTTAGCCCGTTTAAATGCCACTTAAAGGCTAGAGTGGCCTGCCATGTTTGTTTAAATATCGGTTAGCCTGTTTAAACAAATGTTTAACCCATTTAAATGGATAAAAAATAATGGGTGGGTGACTGTTTAGTATTTAGCATTTAGCTGAACAATGGTCACAAGAGGAATATATTTGACAAAGGTATGCTCTTCATGATTCCTGAATATAATGGGTGGGTGACCTGTTGCTTCTTCTTAGCCACAGTTCAGACATTCTTGTACTTTAGAGAATATAATATTATTCTAGGCCTCTTATGAATCTACAAAGGTATTCTCCCAGATAAATTAAGGTGTGTCTCTTTGTCAGATTTTTACCACCACACCCCTGTTTGCCCTCAGGCGATTCATACATCGATATGAGAGAATTCTAGTCAATTGAGCATAAGACCTGTAATCACCAAGTTTCTACTTGAAGCTAACTTTATGTACAATTCTTGGATAAAGTACCATCAACATGTACAATGTTTACTCCTACACCCTAATTCATCCCTCCAACCCACATTACTGTAACTTAAGTGGATTTTTAGTGGAAATGCAAAAGGAAATTTTCTTTAGGTTTGATATGTGATATAAGGTTAAAGTACAAATAGTACTAGTACTAGCTACGTATTTCTGTGTCTTCCAACTGTGCAGCAATTTCAGCCCTCAGTCTTCTTCTTCGGCTTGACTGCCCGCAAATTTTTCCTTGAAGCCCTTCACTGTGCTGTCATCCTGCATATAGTGTATGGTGTCAGTAAAATCAAGGTAGTGGGACAAATGGAGAGCATCTAAAACCATAGTATTACATAACTTCAAAAGAAAGAAAGAAAACCCATAGTATTACCAATCTTCTGAATAGAGGTGTAGGTTTCCCTATCCTGTGGCCTGATGGTATAAGATCCCAAGGCCTTTTTTTTTTCCCTCTGCCCTTTTCCATCACAAAATAATAGATGCTCTTCTGGGGGCAGCTGATGAAGGACCTAAATAAGATATCAATTAATATATTACATTCAAATTTTCCAAATGCATGTAGTTGCATCACATCATTTCAAGTCTGGGCCAAACCTCTTTTGAGAAGGATGGCATGAAAGGCTCTAGCAAACAAGCCAGGAGGTAAACGAGGCCAATGGAAGTCTTTATCACAGTGGCACAACCAACTGGATCTTGTTTGTAAAGTTCCCAAAACTTACTACCCTGCATATGCAGGAACAAATTTGGTGAGAGACGAGGTTGTTTAATCAATGCAAAAGAAAGCCTGGAAAACATGTAACTAAGGCTTACTTGCAGGTATGCATTTCCCTCTTTGGAAAGGGCCATTGCAAGCTTTAGCCCTCGTTTTAGTTTGACCTGTTAATGGTAGCCATTGATATTACATGAATGCCTAAGGCTGATAGAAGCAGTTCAATTTCAGATTATCTACTAGTACAACTCCATTGGTTCGAAGTCAATTTATTACCTTGTTCATCGCATCTATATACTGCTCAACCAATTTACCAACAGTTTCTGAAATTTCCTGAGTCCGTGCATGTGACTCTGCATGTGGTGCATCAGGTATAATGGAACCATATCCAGCTCCTGCAACAACAGTTCAGAGAGGCACAACAAACAGGACACTGATGCATGTTAGGACAAATCCGGAGAGCTATGGATAACTCATACTCAAAAGGGTAAGATGATTCGTTTCTACTGACCCTCTGGTTTTGCAATGAAGCTCAGAACTCGATTAATGAAGTTCCCCAAAATATTTACCAACTCATTGTTGAGCTTGGCTTGCAAATCTGCCCAATGCCCAAGTGAATTGCGTATCTGATGCCTGAAAGTTAGAGCAAAAAAATATCTTTTTTTCACCCATAAAGATTTACATCAAGATCTATTAGTTGAATGAATCTTGGATCTAACCTCAGGACGATTGGTAAGCAAGTAGTATCGCCACACTTCAGGAGGAATATTTGTATCTTTTACATCATTGCCAAAGACTCCAATACCCTTATTTTTGAGAATTTTCCTGTATTATACAATATAAAGCAAGAAATTCAGCATATAGTTTTCAGATGGAAATAGCCTGGCAAAACAGAAGAACAACTTGTCACACCTGATTCATAGTTTAGATATTCAGTTACACTAATTGCCTTCAGCAAAGTCCAGTTGTCACCAGTTCCAAGTAGCGTAGAGGGGAACATGACCTGAAGAATCAGTTTTTGTGTGTATATAAAGTAAGATTCTGTGAAAAGAATTGCAACGCTTTTGCACTTGCACATATATCAAAAAGTTGGAAGTTTGTGAAAGATGTGGAGTCTTGAATTAGGTTGTACTACAAAGTTGCCAAAGGTATCTTACCGTGTGGAATGGAACATTGTCTTTGCCCGTGAACTGGTATAACTCAACATTATCTGGGTTCTTCCACCACTTCGACCATTCCGGCGTGTAGCATTCTGATGTACCCAATTGGTGCGTCAAACCAGACATAGAACACCTGAATTTTTTTTAGGATGACCATGTGATTAAATTGAAGAAATCACCCAATTTACATTGAGAACCTGAAATTCGCTACGTGGAAAGATGACTGACGTTATCCTTGTACTTAGCGGACCGTGACGTCTAAGGGAAGGGGGTTGAATTAGGCAACTTAATTTCGACTCTAAGCTATGATCTCTTTTTCTAACCTTAGCAAAACCTATGCAAAAGATAAACTATTTAGATATATAACCATGGTTTTGCTAGTGTGTTGCTATATCTACCGCAAAAGGAGTAATGCAAACAACGTAAATACGGAAGCTAAAGAGTAAGGTAGAGATATGCAAACTCCCGTCGACGACTCCGGTATTTTTACTGAGATATCGAGAAGCGCGCAAGCTTCCCCCTAATCCTTGTTGGAGCCCCTTGCAAGGAATCCCTCGCAAGGGCCAAGCTCCCGGTCGGGTAACTCCGTGGATAGCATCGGGTCTTCCCCACGTGCAAGTGGGTCTCTAGTGTGCATTTCGGCAAGCCTTTCTTGGACCGCTCCCCGCCATTTTCACTATCAAGCTTCCAGCCGAACCGCCGCGGACCTTGTTCCCTTCGGTACATGGTGGCGGCCACACCACAAACGCGGTCGGTGTGATCTCGTAAGACTACAAGCCTTTCCGATGTACAACAATGGTGTGCGCAAGCACCGAGTGGTAAGAGGTATGCAAACCTCACTAAACACTAGGCCTTAACCCTAGAGCAAGCGCATAAGCGGTGATCTAATCAACCTAAGCACTTCGCAAAGCACCTACGCTAATAACCTAATGAATCACTAAGCACTATGCAAGTGGAGATCACTAAAATGGTGTATCAACACCCTTGGTATGTTTCCTCAGCTCCACACTTTCTAAATGGCCGGTTGGGGGTCTATTTATAAGCCCACTGAGAAAGTAGCCGTTGGGGACGAAATCCTGCTTTTCTGCTACTGTCCGGACGCTGCTTTTGTCCTGATCGGACGCGTCCGGTCGTCCCAACCGTTAGAGCGCGCGATCTACTTATCGGATGCTGATGGCGTCCGGTCACATGCCACCAGACGCGTCCGGTCACAACTTCGCCGCTCTGGAACCTCTCTGTACTCGATCGGACGTTGTAGTTTCTGCGTCCGGTATATTAGCCACCAGCGTCCAGTCAGTGCTGAGTGTGTTGCCGGGATGATGAACAGTGCCATCGGTGCGTCCAGTCACTTTCACTCCTCAGCATCCGGTCGCTGCTGCTGACGTCTGCCGTTGCCGAGCCTCTTGATTGGAGCGTCCGGTCGATATGCCGCCTGCGTCCGGTCACCTCTGTGAGCTCATTTTTTCGCGATCTTGCGTCCGGTTTGGTTTTTATCTTCATGCTTGGACTATGCTTGATATCTTGGGTCTTCTCTTGTGCTTCTAGGGTCTTGCTTATGGTGTTGATCATCGGATCAACACGTCGTCTTCGTCCAAGTCACGTCTTGCACCCTATTGGACTACAAAACAATCACTTGCAAATTCATTAGTCCAATTTAATTGTGTTGGATCAAACACCAAAATTCAAAGTAAATAGATCTAAGATCCATTTTCCCTAGAGTACTTCTCATGTGGCACAGGGACGCCCCATTTGAGGTCCCTGGTGATGCAGCGAGGCCTGAGGCCTCCCTTGAGCCAAGCGTTTGTTGCATTAACGGCGTTTTGGCTCCAAGATCCATCAGCAGAGGCCTCCTGGATGTACCTCTCCAGCGTCTCCTTCAACAGAGGGAGCTCCAGGAACAGGTGATCAGTGTCGCGGACGCAGGGAGCGCTCCCGCAGACCTGAAGAATGGCCGCCGTTGAGCACAAGAAAGGAAACCCACTGCCACTGTTGGGTTGGTTCTTGCCAGGCACCAAGGTAACGACATTATGAAACCGATACAGATGGATCAACTCAATTGAGTTGAGCAATTCCCCACATTTTTTGCACTGGTCACCGCGTGCGGAGTCGTAGCTGCATCCCTTGGTGGGGCAGGAGCCCTCCACGAGTCTGTCAGCCAAGAACCTCTGGCACGAGTTGCAGTAGAGCTGAAAACGGAGTCACATCATAACTAAGTCAGTGTGCAGTTGCAAGTTAGAATAGAAACAACATATACTGTAGGATCGGAATTAACCTGTTGTATTGTGTTCTCTGAAAGCCAACTGTTGTCCAGTAATTTCCGGAATATGTCATGGCAGATCTCCGTCTGCTGCGGCGACGACGTGCGGCCGAAGTGGTCGAAGCTGACGCCGAACCACTCGTACACCTCCCTGTGGACCGCGTGGTACCTGTCGCAGATCTCCCGCGGCGAGCAGCGCTCCTCCATGGCCCTGGTCTCGGTGGCGGTGCCGTACTCGTCGGTGCCGCAGACGAAGAGCACGTTGTCGCCCCGGAGGCGGCAGTAGCTCGCGTAGACGTCGGCGCTGAGCACGCAGCCGACCAGGTTGCCCAGGTGCGGCAGCGCGCTCGTCACCAGCACGTTCCGCCGCCCCTCCACGGGCAGCACCACCTCCTTCTTCTTGAGGCCCTGCTGCCCCGACGCCGCCGTCTCCGTATCTGTCTCTGCCATAGTCGCACGCACTCGCAGCGTCGCGTCCCACGCCTTCGACTCGCCTTCGCTTACAAAACTGCAGCTCTTTTGTGTGTCCCCCGCGGTTCCGGTTGGTCTCTGTATTTATTGGGTCCCTGAGGAGTCGAGACTCGGCGGATGGCTCCTGCACGCTGCTTTCAATTGCCAGCGGCTTTTGGCATGCAAGGAAGCGGCTATATTCATAGTTTATATATTCTGAGAATCCGACAGCCCAAGTCGACTCACTAGCTGGCCCACGGAGTACGTATTTCTTTTTTTACATTTTATTTTAATTTTCTTTTTCATCTTTTATAGCACCATGTTGTTAGGAGTAGACTTGGGGAAGGAGCAAGCAGGGGATGAGGGGAGGTCGGAAGGAGGAAGACGCAAATAAGCGAGGAATGATTAACAATATTTAGAACTTGGGTTTACAATTTTCATGCCGTTCTGTCTCGCTCTCCTTTATACTTCAGGAGCTCTCTTACATTACCCACTTACCCAGTCTAGGCCAGCGGTACGCGGGTTGGGCTTGATTGCACCCATGGGCCGTGTGGCAGCTGGAATCCCACTCTCTTCTGTTGCCTGACGAACCACAGGGCCAGGGACGGCTTCAGGTACAGCCGGGGAGCTGACATTCCCCGGAACCGGCATGTCCCCAGGCCGGTGCATCGGGAGAACTCTGGCGTAGAGTCTCCAGGGTCTCCCAAGTGGCCAATGACGTCGGCATCTGGGATCACTTGATCAAGCCTTGTTCAACAGGAGAATCACCGGAGCGGCGTTGAAGGATCTGCTCAGGGATCTGAAACGGATCCAAGTCAGTATGAGGCAATGGTGATACCTGGTGGTTGCCGATCGAGCTCTTCAACTAGTAACATGGAACACCGGGTGTATTTATGAGCCAGGAGGCAACTCGAGCTTGTAGGCGACAGTGCCAATCCGGGACAGCACCTTGTATGGGCCAAAGAACTTGAAGGAGAGTTTCTGGCAGGAACGGCGGGAGACGGAAGACTGAGCGTACTGTTGCAGTTTCAGGCAGACGAGATCACCAGCGAAACATCGCTCAGTGCAGCCCTTGTCTGCCTGTTGCTGCATTCTCTACTAGGCGCGGAGCAGATGAAGTCGGACCAGGTCATGCATAGTTTCCCGCTCTTCCATCCAAGACTTAAGATCCGGAACAGGCGATGCCAAGTCAGGATCCAAACCCAAATGACGTGGTGGAAAGCCATAGAGAACCTGGAATGGAGATCTGCCCAAAGTGGAGTGACGGGTGGTGTTATACCAATCCTCGGCCAAAGACAGCCACTGAGCCCACTTAGATGGACATGCATGAACGAAGCAGCGCAAGAATGTTTCCAAACACTGATTTACACGCTCGGATTGACTGTCGGTTTGGGGTGATACGCAGAACTCATATCCAGATCGGTGCCCACCAATTTGAACAAGAGTTTCAAAGGGTGCTGGTGAAAATCTTGTCACAATCAGATATTATCACCCGAGGAAGGCCGTGAAGCTTATACACGTTGTCTATAAAGAAGTCTTCTACTGGCAGTGCTGTAAAAGGATGCTTCAAGGCAAAGAAGTGGGCGTATTTGGAATACTTATCCACGATCATATATTTTTTGATCAGCGTGACGAGACGAATGCAAATGGTGCAATCCATTCTTGCATTTGAGAAAGTTAGAAAACCAGCCTAGCTGATTTTGGGAACTGGCTAGGCTAGTTTTGGTTGGGTCAGCCCCCGAAAAGTTGTTTTCTTTATCCGGGATCTAAATTAATGAGATTATACAAATATGTTTTCTGATCGTCTTGGCGATAAAAATGTGATGACGGAGTCCATTATGTACTTTGGCCAATTTTAACTATCAACAATATTCTTGCCATAGAATTTTCAAATGATTTTAATAAAGAGGGCACATACATCATCCACAAAATGGATACATCTCATGTAACTCGAGCCAAACTCTGAAGTATGTTTGCATGTATCAAAAGCAAATAAATAAGGAACACAAACACATGTATATAACATGCAACCAATAAAAACCGAATTTATAACATTTTTCCTAGCTTAGCCTCACATTTTTCATGAGAAACCAGGACTAAAATAAATTCTTTATCGGGACAAGGACAGCCAGCAGCCATCCAAAACTCTGAAGCTACCCAAAAACCAATGGATAAGATTTCGTTTGCAGTCTGGACGGGATTCATCCTCATCCATTCCATTTCATTCCAAATTTGAATTTGGAGCCAGTTTCACAGAACGGAACGGAGAGGACGGGATCAATGGACGCGGTGCGCCGCCTCGGTTCCTTCGGTGGCGCGGAAGCAGCCTGCTGTGTGCTGTGCTGGGTTGGCCATTGTAGGCCATCGCCACCCCTGCTGCTTCATTCTATTGCTAAATTGGTATTTGGTATTGATTAAGTATGTAATTCATGTATTGATATCATAAACATGTGTGCACTTTATTTTTGGTGTAGCTTTGCGAGCTAAATGAGCCATATCAAACTCACGAACGAGCCGAGTTAGGTCGATAACCACCCCTATAACTGACCATGTCAAAGCTTAGACATTGTTAATATAAAGTTTAGATATTTATAAACGAAAGATTATGAGCTCACAAAATTTAGTAATAATCCATAAAAGATCTAGTGTCACATGTAAGCAATTTGAGGGCAATGCAAAAAACTACTTCACTAGTAAAGCTATTTGTTTTTGGCTTTAGCTTCATGAACAGCTTTATTGGTAGAGCTGGAGCTAATTTGATAAATTGTTTGGCAAAATAGCTCCACAAGTAGAGCTCCTTAAAACATGCTCTCATGTAGCCCATGCAGGGCCCACCAGAACGAGGTGAAGCCACTATTTTTAGTTCCACCCTTCACAATTATTTTGTGAGAGCATAATTTAAGGGGCTCTTTAGGTGAAGCCGTTTTGTTTTACCCCGTTTTGCACAAAACGGCTCCAAACGGCTTTAGGAGCCGATGGAGAAGCCGTGCCAAATGGGATAGCATCGTACATTCATGTAACAAAAAAGTTGCAAGTATGTTCCAAACTGATTAAGCAATAAAAAATCGACAGTATAATAAAGTAGAGGAATAAAACAGAAAAGTATCATGTAGATTTGCAACCAGGCCAGGCGCAATTACATCTTGGATGTATGGGCGTGTTTGGTTCCGCGGTCGCGTCGCGTTTGAGCCGAGTTCGCGAGATAATCCCGCCAAACGCCTCGCGTCCAACGCGTGTTCGCCGGCCACCCGCAACGCGATTCACAGGAAAATGTACTGGGCAATCAGAAATCGCGAACATAGCTTCCGCGCCGCGTTGGCGTTATCGCGGTCGCGCGATGGGTTATCGCGAAACCAAACAGGGCCTATATAAGATGGATAATTTGTCTGTGAGCCCATGGGCCTTGTACAGTGAAATGAAAGAATATCGATCCTAGGTATGTCAGAACTACTATGAAGTTGATTAATTAGCTCAAAAACTAATTAAACACACAATCTATACCTAATATCATGAATATGGAAACCACCCTTCTCTTTATATAACAATGCAGAACTACGTATTTAAGGTAGTCTTGATAGACATGAATCCTAATCCAATTAGATATCTCCAATCCCGAGTAATCTCAATAGGAATCCTAATCCAAATAAAAAAATATAATAATAGAAATCTCTAGCTCGGCTAGGCTCTTTTTCCTGTTTTGATCGACCATACCATCCATCCGTCCGTGTCTTTTCTTTTTCATGAGCCCACAAGGTTTCCTTTTCTCTTTTTCATGAGTCCACAGCATGCATAAATATATATGGGCCCACCGCGCTTGAGTTAAAGGGAGAGTTAAAGTGCCTTTCTAATCCTATTTTAATACATATATCGTGAGGAGTTTCTTTGTTTTATCACCGACCTTAGCTAGAGTCACGGTGGAACACCCCACAAAGAGAGATCAAAATCTAACGAGTGGACGACATTGGCATGGTGGAGACATGCCTGGTGGTGGAGCGCGCTTGGAGGCTGTATCTACCTTGACATGTCAGTAACTAAACTCCTATTATTAGTTTTAATAAGATGAATTATAAATTTTTATGGGTCCACAAAGTAAGTCATAAAACTCAGTACTCTCTCAGTGTCGGGGGTCGTCACGCGCGGGCGCGCGCGGCACGCCAGTATAGGGCGGGGGTTGTTGCTAATTTGCCACCGCGAGGCCCTCAGGAGCGCATGTAGAAACTCCTCTTCAGGATCTTTGCGTTGAGTTACACACACATTCTCAATGCAGGGCATACCGAACAACTCGATCGATTACACACTTAAGTCTCCAACTCTTAAGCTGAAACATTATTGACAATAACATAAGATTAAAACAAGAAACTGCTACTAACACTATCTTTCTAACTATCTACTGCCCTCTACCCAAGTTACACCTCATTTCACTCTTCTACTCATTGGAAAACACGCAACTCATCTTGGAGAACTTCTAAGGTTACTAACCATCGCACTCATCAGAGATGGTTGCAGAGGAAAACTCAACAACCTGCAAAACAACTTAATGGCAACGTCGTAAGTACATTTCGTACTCGCAGGACTTAATTCCAACACATAGATATTTGGTGGATGCACAAGTAATTTATCAGGCATTTGTATATTTGCAGAAAAGCGCATGACGTTTCTTAGATGACATGCTATGATCCATTTTAGAGAATTAGTATTAACAAGAGCGATATCTATAGGGATATTAAGCATATATAAGCCATATCTTCATGTTCCATCATTACGCTACCATGGGTATAGAAAGTAGGAACAACCGAATGGTTCCGTCCTGAAGGACTTTAGGCTTTCGAACTCTACAGAGGTGTACAATTGTACCCACACGGAAAACGGCCACCATACACCGGGTCCGATAGTAAAGGTTGCCTCACGTTCTCCAACCTTTCCCTAATCCGGCCCAAGTGTCCGATGAAAGGTTCGGCTAGTGCCCGGTCAATGTCCCGAACATTCTTGACCGACGCCACCCCCTTGCCAGTTTCATGGATAAACCGGCCATAATTAGTTACTTGGCTTGTCGACCCCATCCGCAACATGTGGTTTGTATGGGTGGTTACTCGGACTCACGTATCCCAATAAACGGTCCTTAGCTGCTCCACGAGCTATGTCGTTTGAGATCCAACACTCACAATGACCTATCCCTCGCATGAGCAAAGTTACCAAAGTGGTATAGTGGTATCCAAGTTTATGACCTTTGGTGTTATTGTGCCTTAGCCAGATTAGTGAAGTAAGTCAAGTTGTACCCTCATTGCTAGTGGTTAATTATCCCGGTGTAGCATCCTACACGCGCGAGAATGAGTTCCCTTCTCATACTCGACTTCTACCATTGCTAAGTAACTAAGCAATAAGCAATTAAGCGTTACCATTCTTGATGAGGACATCCCAACTGTACATGCTAGCTCAAGTATCAATCATCCACCATCCAACATAAAAGATACAAATCAAGGACCACTTACACAAAGTCGCGCCAAGAAACTACAAGAGCAAGTGAATTCATTCCTAACTGATTTTAATTTCAACACTTCTAAGAATGTTATACCACCTAAGTGTTCTACTTTGGTTGTACTTAGGTATATACATCAAGAGGAGGATGAAGCGGACCATGAGGATCGGACCAACACAGTGAAAAACGGACCAGCAAAATTGGGCCACTATAGTGAAAACGGACTAGTAGAAACAAACTATCATAACTCTTGATTCCTTGAGGTTTTGGAGGCCCATGTGGACTTTCTGAAAAGCTTATCAAGTCTACTTTCCAATTCAAGAAACCCACTTGATTTGGATGTCACAATCAAGAGTTATGCTTAGATTATTCAAGACTGCTCAGAAGGTCAACAATCTTTCGTGACAGAATGTTGGTACAACTTCCCATGCAAAACTATACCATTCTACAATGTTACATGGTGCATCGTGCACATGGATGGAAAGCTTATTGAGTCTACTTTCACACTGAGTAAATGGCTTGTCATTTTGACTTCCCACTAGGGAGTTACAACTCTTTTAGTGGAGACTGCTCTGAAAACTGCCAGCCACGTGAAGACTCCTGGAAATCCATTTCGTGGAAGCTTTTTCACATACTCTATCTTTTCATTTCTATTTCGTGTTCATACCTATCTGGGAGGGTTGTTCCTAGTATAAATATTCCTATGCTCTTAAGCAAACAAAGACTTTTGATAATTAGAATAGAAACCCCTTTGTTCAACTGTGTGCTAACAAAACCAGAGAGAGATCTCTACCCCTTTGCTCTTGTCTTTTCCTTTGTGGAGATTACAGAAGTGGCCGCGTCACCAGCACCCAATCTGTGCTCCTGGTCCATTGATTTCAGGTTGCGTAGGTTGGTTTCTTTGAGAGTGTGGTTGGGCGAATCCTTGGTTCAGGCTGCCGTATAGAGACGGTGGTTGGCTCCTTGTGCGTGTCGTCGGGTTGCACTAGTTATCACTGCTTGTAGCAAGTTATCGGCTGATCTTCAGCTAGTTATCAAGATCAAGATCCTACGTCATGAAGATGGGGACCAACACTTTATCATCTGGTATCAAAGCTTCAGTTGCCACGATAGAATTCTTTACCCTTAGCTACATATAAATTTTTGTTCATCCTATCCATCAAAAAGCCAGAAAAATATTTTGCCATAGCCCTTTGTTTCAATATGATATTCTAGTGAGTTTTGTTAAGTTTCGTTCCATAGAGTCTTTGTTTTAGTTGCTGATCATATTATCCTTCGCTGTCCTTTGTGCCTCTTTTATATATATATCTGAAAATCCCCACAAAAAAATCTAAAACTTGTATCATCCTTCGCGTTAACTTTGATCCTATCAAGTTTTAGCCGACGGTTGTGTCTTGTTTCTATCAAAAAAGTGTACAAGTGTTATATCTAATCTTGTTCTTAGTTCATTAAAAAAAGAGTGTCAAAAAAAGAAGAAAGAAAAGTTGCAAAAAAAGTTGAGAAAAGTTGTGAAAGAAGAGTTGAAAGATCAGTTTGTTTATGTGCACAAGTGCTGAAAGTTTCATCAGTTGCATAACTAGATTGCTATCCATCCTTTGGTGCAAAATTTTGCTTGGGTTTGATTGCAGCACTTGCATCCTAAGCATACTCATGTGCATCAAATTTGATTTTTTTGCACGTGTGTTTGATCCATTTACATCACTTATATCTTGTGGTCAGCACTAGGCATTGATCTTCTAGTTTGGACTACAATTTAGCTTTACAATATCTAGAATTAAAATTGCATTCCTTGTGAATCATTCCCCACCAAGCTCTACATAAAAGCCACCGTCATAGGAACGCTGATCTTGTATTCGTTTAACCATAATTTTCTTGTTACCACCTCGCATTGCCCTTCTGTAATCCACAGGAATTCATAAGAGCTTCGGTTGGTAAGAGAGGTGAGCTTGTGAGATTCCACCAATATTTTCCTATTCCACAAATACCTATTGTTCACATTTAGCTAACATTACAGGAAGATGGATGGAGTTGAGATTGAAGATTGTGTCACTATGGCACAATTTAATGAACTAAAGCAAAGCATGGAAGACAAGCAAGATCGGTTGTCACAAGGTCATCAGGCCCTTATGGCTGAAATCAGAGAACATCGCCAACCTCGTGATAATGCAAATGATAGTCATCATGAAGATGAAGTTGATGAAACGGAAGAAGAAGCTGCTGCTCGACTTGTAAGAGAACAACGGCGACATAGAGAGCGAGCTGCTGCACATGCGAGAAGGCCTCTACCTCTAGGGCGTGGAGATGGTGGTAGAGGTGCTGATTGTGATCATGGGAGACGTCTTGGACTAGAGGAAAGTGGGACTGAAGAAGAGGACGACGAAGAAGAAGAGGTTGACCAGCCCCGTATTGATGGTCATCGTCACTGAGGAAATCGTGGGTGTAATCAGCTCAATGAGGAGAGGTTTGGCAAGATAAAATTCAACATGTCCAAGTTTGATGGAGGGTCTGATCTTGAAGTATATCTTACATGGAATTAAAGGTTGATAAATTTTTTCTCTTGCATAATTATTCTGAGCAGAAGAAGACGGCCATGGATGCTCTTGAGTTTGATGGTTTTGCTCTAACCTGGTGGGAACAAATGTTCAATGATAGGGAAGAAGCTAGGCATGGTGCGGTCCGTTCATGGGCTGAAATGAAGAGAGAAATGAGAGCAAGGTTTGTCCCCAAACATTATCGTCGTGATCGATTTGACGAGCTACATAATTTGAAGTAAGGAAGCCTTAATGTTGATGAGTATTATAAAGAGATGGAGAAGACGATGATTAGAGCCAATGTATATGAAGATGAAAAGCAATCTATTGCACGTTTTATGTCAGGGCTGCATCGCAATATTCAGCGCATTATTGAATTTCAGCAGTACCGCAATCTTATTGAATTGGTACATCAAGCTAGTAAAGCTGAGCGTTAGTTGTAGCAAGACATGAAGTCTAACAGAGGAGTATCTTTCAGCACAAGAAGTACACCAAGTGGAAGCAAATTCACACCAAGAGGTAGTGCAAGTAGAGGTACAATTTCCAACTCAAGTGGTGGTGCACGATCAAGCAATTTTGGTGCTTCTAGTGGCAAAGAGCTGGCTGCTCCAAGTGAGAGGAACAAATCAGCAAACTCATCATCTATTTCTGTGGGTTCTTCAACCAAGAGTAGTGGAATTCAATGCTTCAAGTGTGGAGGTCGTGGTCATGTTATAAAGGAGTGTCCAAACAATCGAACCATCATTGTGAATGACCAAGGAGAGTATGAATCTGCTAGTGAGGAAGAACATGAAGATATTGAAGGTGAAGATAATCCTGAGAAGGAAATATGTGCATTTGAAACTGGTGCTGCTCTTATTGTAACTCGTATTTTGAGTGTACAAATGAGTGAAGCTGAAAGTGGACATCAGCACAATCTTTTTCAAACCAGAGCCAAGGTTGAAGACAAGGTGTGCAAGGTAATCATTGATGGTGGAAGTTGCCACAATCTTGCTAGCAAAGAAATGGTTGACAAGCTTGGTTTAAAGCTGCTGAAACATCCTCATCCATCTCATGTGCAATGGTTAAATAATTCAGGTTCTATCAAGATTGCACAAAGAGTGAAAGTTCCTTTTAAGATTGGTGAATATATTGACACCATGGAGTGTGATGTGGCACCCATGACAGTGTGCCATATGTTGTTGGGAAGACCATGGCAATATGATCGGTTGTCTCTACATTGTTGTCGAACCAATCAATACACCATCAAGTGGAAGGGCAAGGAGTTGATACTTAAACCCATGACACCACAACAAATCCTAGCTGAGCACTTGCAAAAGAGCTCCAATGTGAGGAATGAGAGTGAAAAATAAGGAGAGAAAAAGAATATGAGTGCCTTCCACAAGTCAGAAAATGAGAGCCACAAGCCAAACATGAGAGATAACAAAAAGAGAGAGGGAGAGAACTTAGTGATAATAGCCACCAAATATGAAATGAGCAATGTGAGGAAAAACCCAGATCAAGTATTCATTATACTTGTGTTCAAGGACACATTGCTTTCAGCTAACGACTTAACATCTATCCCTAGTGTTGTTGCATGTGTTCTACAGGAATATGAAGATGTTTTTCTAGAAGAAACACCTGCTGGACTTCCTCCCTTGCGTGGCATTGAACATCAAATTGATTTCATCCATGGAGCTACACTTCCAAACCATCCAGCATACCGAACCAACCCCGAAGAAGCCAAGGAAATTCAAAGGCAAGTACAAGCACTTTTAGATAAAGGATACGTGCGTGAAAGTTTTAGTCCTTATGCTGTCCCTGTGATTTTGGTGCCAAAGAAAGATGGTTCATGGAGGATGTGTGTAGATTGTAGAGCCATAAATAACATCACTGTTTGCTATTGTCATCCTATTCCTAGGCTAGATGGCATACTTGATGAATTGAGTGGATCTGTGATATTCTCTAAATTTGATTTGAGAAGTGTTTACCATCAAATTAGAATGAAAATTGAAGATGAATGGAAAATTGCTTTTAAAACAAAGTTTGGGTTGTATGAATGGTTAGTTATGCCTTTCGGTTTGACTAATGCACCTAGTACATTCATGAGATTGTTGAATCATGTCTTGTGGGCATTCATTGAAAAATTTGTTGTTGTTTACTTTGATGATATCCTAATTTATAGCAAGACATTGGAGGAGCATGTTGATCATATTCAGCAAGTTTTAGATGTGCTCAGGAAGGAAAAGTTATTTGCTAACCTAGAGAAGTGCACATTTTGTATAGATCAGGTTGTGTTTCTTGGCTTTGTTGTTTTAGGTTCAGGAATTCAGGTTGATGAATCAAAGGTGAAAGCAATCAAGGATTGGCCAACTCCTGAAAATGTGAGCCAGGTGAGAAGTTTTCATGGACTTGCTTGTTTTTACAAGAGATTTGTGAGAGATTTCAGCATCATAGCTGCTCCATTGAACGAGTTAACAAAGAAAGGTGTTGCCTTCCAATGGGGTGAGCTACAACAGAAAATTTTCCAAGAATTGAAGAAAAGGTTATCTGAAGCCCCCTTACTTGTGTTGTTGGATTTCACTAAAATCTTTGAGGTTGAATGTGATGCAAACGGGATTGGGATTGGAGATGTTCTCATGCAAAATGGACAGCCTATGGCATACTTCAGCGAGAAGTTGGGAGGAGCACAACTGTACTATTTGGTGTATAATATGGAGTTGTATGCTTTGAAAACCCATGCAGGTGGATTGATGGGTCACTTTGGATGGAGAAAGACATATGAGATGTTGGCCGACCATTTCTATTGGCCGAAGATGAGAAGGGACATTGAAAGATTTGTGCAAAGATGCATCGCTTGTCACAAAGCTAAGTCAAAACTGAACCCCCATGGATTATATACTCCCTTGCCTGTTCCTAGTGCTCCTTGGGAAGACATTAGCATGGATTTTGTTTTGGGTTTACCAAGGACAGAGGGGGAGGGATTCAATTTTTGTTGTTGTTGATAGATTCTTTAAAATGGCACATTTTATACCATGTCATAAAAGTGATGATGCTTCCCACATAGCCTCTCTATTTTTCAGGGAAATTGTGAGATTGCATGGCATGCCCAAGACAATTGTTTCAGACCGTGACGCCAAGTTTTTGAGCTACTTTTGGAAGACGTTGTGGGTAAAACTCGGTACAAGGCTGCTGTTTTCCACCACTTGTTACCCTCAAACAGATGGGCAAACTGCTGTAGTGAATAGAACACTTTTAGTACTACTGTGAGCCTTGATAAAGAAGAACTTGAAGGAATGGGAAGAGTGCCTGCCACATGTGGAATTCGCTTACAATAGGGTTGTACACTCTACAACTAATATATGTCCTTTGGAGTTGTATATGGTTTCAAACCACTTGCTCTGATCGATTTGTTGCCTCTACCATTGCAGGAAAGAAGTAACATGGAAGCCTCCAAGCATGCATCTTATGTCAAGAAGATTCATGAGAAGACCAAAGAAGCAATTGAGAAAAGATCCAAGTACTATGCTGAATGGGCAAACAAGCATCGCAAGAAGGTGACATTTGAACCTGGAGATTTAGTTTGGGTACATCTTCACAAAGACCGCTTTCTAGAGAAGCGCAAATCCAAGTTGATGCCACGAGGAGATGGTCCATTTAGAGTGCTGTCCAAGATCAATGATAATGCCTACAAGATTGATCTCCCTGAGGATTATGGTGTTAGCACATCCTTTATTGTTGCTGACTTGACACCGTTCTTTGGGCTAGAAGAAATCAGAGTCGAGGATGACTCCTTTTCAACAGGGGTGGATAATGAGGACATCCCAACGGTACATGCTAGCTCAAGTACCAATCATCCACCATCCAACATAAAAGATACCAATCAAGGACCACTTACATAAAGTCACGCCAAAAAACTACAAGAGTAGGTGAATTCATTCCTAACTGATTTTAATTTCAACACTTCTAAGAATGTTGTACTGCCTAAGTGTTCAACTTTGGTTGTACTTAGGTATATACATCAAGAGGAGGATGAATCGGACTACAAGGATCGGACCAACACAGTGAAAAACGGACCAGCAAAATTGGACCACTATAGTGAAAATGGACCAGTAGTAAGAAACTATCATAACTCTTGATTCCTTGAAGTTTTGGAGGTCCATGTGGACTTTCTAGAAAGCTTATCAAGTCTACTTTCCAATTCAACAAACCCCACTTCATTTGGACATCATAGTCAAGAGTTATGCTTAGATTAGTCAAGACTGCTCAAAAGGTCAATAGTCTTTCGTGATAGAATGTTGGTACAACTTCCCGTGCAAAAATATATCATTCTAACGTTACGTGGTGCATGGTTCACATGGATGGAAAGCTTATTGAGTCTACTTTCACACCCAATAAATGGCTTGTCATTTCGACTTCCCACTAGGGAGTTACAACTCTTTTAGTGGAGAGTGCTCTGGAAACTACCAACCGCGTGAAGACTCATGGAAATCCATTTCGTAGAAGCCTTATCACATACTCTATCTTTTCATTTCCATTTCATGTTCATACCTATCTGGAAGGGTTGTTCCTAGTATAAATATTCCTTTGCTCTTAAGCAAACAAAGACTTTTGATAATCAGAATACAAACCCATTTCTTCAGCTGTGTGCTAACAAAACCATAGAGAGATCTCTACCCCTTTGCTCTTGTGTTTTCCTTCGCGGAGATTACAGAAGCGGCCGCGTCATCGGCACCCAATTCGTGCTCCTGGGCCATTGATTCTAGGTTGCGTAGGTTGGTTTCTTTGAGAGTGTGGTTGGGCTAATCCTTGGTTCAGGCAGCCATATAGAGACGGTGGTTGGCTCCTTGTGCGTGTCATTAGGTTGCACTAGTTATCGCTGCTTGCAGGAAGTTATCGGCTGATCTTTAGCAAGT